GATCAAACTATGGCTACATAAGGCGTATAATGTGATTACGCATAATAAAATACATAAGATTTTAAAGTTTAGAAAAATATTTATGCAATATTTATGTATTTTTTCATAATTTTAAACAATGCAATTGGATCTTAGCCAGTGTATCTAACGATACTTACACTTACTTGCCCATCACTCCGTAATTTCAAAATATGGAATTGAATAAATTAGATGATTTCATTCCACTGTACATACTTCATTTCTATTTTGCCAAACGAGTGTCAATAAATTGTGCAACGAAGTGATTTTCTTTCATTAACATTTGACGAATTAACATTGAGTGTTGCTGGCATACACGAAATCCGTTCGGTCACATTCACACTCACTTTTCAACAAGTTTATTGCCTGTGTATGACTGATTTGTTGTTTGTTAGCAAATCACAACAGTTGACTATAGACGACCATTAAGAAGACATAATTTCGTGGTTTTCACATAATAGCTAAAAAGGAGTTTGCGCAAATTCCAGTTTAAGAAAAGTCACTTAGTCGGTTTTTTAAACAAAGTATCTGCATAACTACATATGTACGTATGTACGTATGATATAATGTACTGCATATGAATAATTATCTATTATATAAATATGCATACGTATTTACGTATGTTTAGGTGTTCTTAATTGTTAATTAAAGTATTTGCATTGAGTAATTGGCATGTATTCTTTAAAACTTGTCAGAACTAAAAGCAAAAGCAATTTAGTTATCAGAAAAAAAAGAATTCTATAAAATCTCTTAGAAGTGGTGAACAGTTTTAATACAAAAAAAAAATTAAAGTATAAATCACTAAAAAATAATTGAAATAAAGTTTAACTACTGACAATGCCATAATTGCTTAAATCCAGCATTAACACAAACACAAAAATAGATACATATATACATATGTACACAATTTATAATATATATATGTAGTATTTTTAGTGGTAGTTTTCCTGTTGGTTAAAAAAATATGTATATTTGAAAAATATTCATGTACTAGTACGTTGGCATTGGCGTAATATTTAGGCGAATGTGTTTGTACATATAGAGAAGAGCTATTTACCCCCAAATATACATACATATGGGTATTTCCTGAAAAAAATTCAACTAAAATCAAAAAATAAAAATCCACCTAGACTAAATTCGATGAAGCCATTCTTTCATATATGTACTAAAATATTATAGACTAGCGATTATCCGGCGTGCTTCACTGTGCCTTCAAAAGTATTTTTGTGTTGTTTGTTCCTCCCAAAACTCATATGGCTGCATTCATAAAAAATAAAATAGATTTGAAGAGCTTTATGAAGTGAGATTTTCAAAAAAAGTTCTCGATTTATGAAACCTTTACTTTTTTATGAATAATGGTGCTAGTTAATATATTTTTATTTATATAATTATTTATACTTTTACTTTACACTTTCTTTACAGGTGTTTTCTTTCAGTATCCTTCCGTACCTTGTCTTTAACTGAATGCAATTTTTCAAATAGGTGGCAAACCGGTTAACAAAATTTTTGGCAGTAAACTTTCTTAAACCACTTTAGTTACTCGTATCGTTAATCTCCTTCACTTTAACAATTTAAAAATTAAATAAAATTTTTCAAACAGGTCGCAACCCTCCTCATAAATATTTTTGGCAGTAGAATATCCTAAACCTCTTTGTTTTCATACTTATATTTCAAAATTTTGTTTATTTTATTAATTAAATCTAATTAAAATTTGAAAACAGATGTCAACTTTCCACAAAAATATTTTCGACGTGGCCATATTGCCATATTTACTTTATCTTAACAATTTACTTAAACTGAATTTTTCCTATATTTTAAGATACACTGCAAAGTGAAAACTGCATTCGATGCCAAGCATTAGTTTCCGAGTTATGCGCGTACAAACCAGGGTTCGTATTTGCACACACATGCGCAGCACATCATAACATTTTACGCTCACACACGTGTGCTGTGCATATAAAAAATTAAAAACTTGCTCACATCACATGTGTGTGCTGTTTGGTAAAAAGCACGGGCACATGTGTGTACTTTATTTTTATTAATATATAGCACACGCACATGTGTGTGCTTTGCGTAGAGAAACTTATACACTTCGATTTCTATCTCAAATCTTAAAATAATTTTTTTATATGTTTTCTGTCATATAAAAAACAGACAACACCTCACTTGTTATTGAATTGTCTTTCAAAAAATAACGTTTAATAAACAAATTCTTTTAAAAATATATTATGTGCATGTGCATGGGCTGAAATTTGTACAAAAATCGGCTCACACACATGAGCATGTGCTTAATAACAAACAGCACACACTTTTCTGTGAGCAGAGTTTGTTTTCCACTTATGCACACACATGTGTATGAGCAGTGAGTACAAGTTGAATGTGTTTCTGGCGTGTGTGTGAGCAGAGCATGTGTGTGCAAATACGAACCCTGGTACAAACATACAGATAGATAAAAATTCGACAAATTTTTGGTTCGGTTTCTGTTACTCTACACCTGTTGCTAGAGTGATAGAAATATAGAAAATAGAAAATTGAAGGACAATGGCTGAAATTTCAAAAAATTGTTTTATTTTTTATTAAGACTTTCGACGTTTTTGGAATAATCAACAACAGTTTACACAGGTAGACCATTCCCTTCTAATGCCGCAGTTCACTAGTTAAATCCCCCCAGTCGTCTCGTTGCATATAAGCTGCTATAACTTTTAATAAAAGAGATACTTGGCGACTAACAATTTGCGAGCTCTTCCTCCAAGGGGCGACCACAATTGACAAAAAAAAACAAGTGGACGTGATGTATTCTCCATTGCTTTAATGAGTACGATTTTGACCTTATTCAATTTAATTAAACTGTACTTAAATGTACTGATCTTGATGAATCGAAAAAAATGTGATGTATTTACTGATTTAAAAACAAAATATGGCAACCCTACTTAAAACTATACAAAGCGAAAAAATAGACGTGGATATAAAAACAAAACCTGTCTAATCAAAACGGCAACACTGGCATAACGTTGAACTTGTTTATTACCTTTTTAGGACACCTAAAATATGTGATCTTAAAATTTATTTAACAATTGCAAAAACGATCGATCTTACGAGATGTGTATTTTTAGGAAAAAAAAATTAAAAAGTTTTTTTCACTGATAATGGCCAGTCGCCTATCAATCACAATCATACGTTTGCATTTTAGGTAGTCCAGCGAAATATTTAAAAAATGCGAATTGTAAACGGCTTGTGTGTTTTTATTTGAATGCAAACTATGAAATTTCTATTAAAGCCGTAAATAAAAGTGAAATCTCAAGGTGAACTTAAAATAAAAGTCGCTAGCTAAGAAATCATACTGCAATTTAGGATATTTATGAGAATTCCAGTGATAAGATCGAAGTATCAAACTCACAATATATCGCATTTTTTTCTTTTTCTTCGTAAACTTTATAAAGAGTGAAAGTAAATTTATACAAAATTATTATAAGTTGCTACTTAAAGACCGACTGAATTAAAAATTATTCAATGAAAAGAAGAGAAAATAAATATTCAATCTGTTTTTCGGTGCGCAACGGAAATAGTTGAAAAAAAAGAAACTTTTAAATCAGCAACTTTACCTAACAATAGAGTAAAAATTAGGTAGATAAAATTAAAGACGACGAATACGTGCAAAAAGAAGAAAAAACAACAAATTACACTAAAATGTTTGGACCAAATGTCAACACTAAAATATTAAAAACGAAAAAAATATAAGCGATGAAATACCTAAACATCTTACAAATTAACCTTAAACAAAGTATCAGAAGCGCAGCGTAACAAAAAAATGCTAACAAGAAAACTTTCACCGATTTCTTAAAAAGCGTAAAATGATGCGATGCGACGCCGTGCGTCGATTTGGCGACACCGTGATGAATCCGACAGGGGGGGTGAGAAGCGAAAACGGGTGTGTTATGCTGCAACACAAGAAAAGCAAACAAATAGGTATGTGTACAGATAGATACTTATATGTTTATACTTACTTACATACATACATACATACGTATTAATAATCCATGTTCGAACGCCTTGAAGTTATTCTGGTCAAGCGAGAAAAAATGATCGGCAATGTGTTGGAGCGCAGAAAACAACAAACCATGTGACTGGTGAATAGGATTTAAGGGCAAGTGGGAATCGCCACTTGAGTCAGCAAAAAATAAATTGATTGTACAAAAAAAAAACGAAAGGTTATGCAAACAAAAAAAAACTGGATGTATGCGGAAGGAAACTACAAATGCATTTAACGGCAATAACAATAATTTTGCTTACCTACTTGATTTAGTTTGAAAGATACATACATACTTAGTACAGAGTGGTGCATATAGGGGTTTCGTTTTAAAAATTCAAATACTGCAGAAAAATAAATTTTTTCGGTATATTAGTGATTTATTCGAAAGAGCAAATAGGAACATTTATCGAAGAGGACTTCATTCATTTGGATGCTTCGACTAGCTTCAGAATAGCGCATCTTTTTAACCGAGTTTTTCAGGGCCTTGGTGACAGTCTCTGACTTTATCACACGAATGGCCCAAGTCGTTAATGGGTTGTTCGCATACGGTCGGCCCTTCATGGTACTCCGCAAAAAATGGCGTCAAATCACAGCTCGTGCTGAAACCAAATACGGCCCAAATTCATGTCTTCAATTTCTTGCAAAAAAAAAGTTCGCCATGCCTCTTTAGCACTCAGCGTTAAACGAAATGATGCGCCATGACAAATGCAAATGATTTAACTGGGAACGCCGTTATAAACTTAAGATACGCTTAAAATACTTCACAACTTACGTGTGTCATCTTTTGCCAAGATAAAAGAAATACAAACACAGACAATTGTTCATTTTTGATTGCATTACATTTGTTTTCTACGTTACTAAAATAAATAAATAAATAAGTTATTAAACAAATAGCCTACAAATCGGTGTAAATTATTACATATCTGCTAAAAATCTAAAGAGTTAAATAAATTCAAACTCCCTGCATTTTTAGCTGATCTTTCCGCCATCCACGATACGCTAATCCCAAAGCATCATAATTGCTACTACGGCGTCTCATGTGATGATGTCCCTCTCCACCGCTCAAATATTGTACGCTGTGACTGCTTTCACCTCCGTGCTGCGTTAGCGATTTCAGACCTACCAATGCGGCCATCATGAGCGCTGCCATTGCAACGCCGAGTGCCTTCAATGCCATTGCACCAATTCCACCCAAACCCATTACGGCCATCATTTTACCAAACATCAATGCCATTGCCAAGATGATACCTTGCCCTTTGTCCTTCTTGCGACCCTCTGTGCGGGGAAAAGAGAAGAAAAAAAATAATAATAGAGGAAAATAAATAGTAATTACAGTTGCAATTGATGAAGACTAGTTGGATTTTTAAGCTGTACCCAGAATTGCAGCGGACGACGGTAAAGCGGTCGACGGTTAACCGCTGTCAAAATTAAGACGCGCACATACCGAACAAATTTTTATTTTAATAATTTTCAAATCAAAATTACAACAGACGGAAGCCGTCGTGCGCGGCTATTCTGTTTACTCTGACGGATTTCGCTGCGGCAACTGTACAGCTGTTCCTTTACAGCCGACCGCTTTACCCTCGTCTGCTGTAATTACACAATTTATGTGACAATAATACTAATATCAATGGTATGGCAAAAATAGTGATTTATGTGTCGATAAATACATATGTATGTACTAGGGATTAGAGTCCGACCGATTCCAATTTTTTTTAGGTACCGCTGCCGATGCCCATTAATCGGCTTATGGGGAAAGAATCGGCTAATGCCGAACTCAACTTTAACGCAAATATCTTGGAAAGCAGTTTTAACAGAAGTGCCCTTATTGCCATCTAACTCCTCAATTATTGGAGATAAAACAAAAACAAGGTAATTTTATTGTGTATTTTTTTAATAAAGTACAGAAAATTTTTTAAACCGACTTTTTATAAAAAGCAACCCTCTTTTCCTAATTTTTACATTCGTAAGTTATTTCAAGCTGGGGTCCCAATGACGTATACAAGTACTAGGCGGTTGTGTGAAAATTACGTTAGCATTCATAAGGTGGCCAAACCACAGGAAGGTGTTGCTCCGTCGCATCGCAATGTTTTCTACACAGGGTTAAAATGCCCCCTTTTTGATGAAAATTAGTATTATTTTCATTACCTTCGATTATCCTTAGAAAAATTTGATAATATTTTAGGGGACATTTTGATCATCTATAAGCAATTTTTTAAACAGTAGGTCAAAAAGGCCCGAGTTGATGGGTTAAACTGTTGGAAAGAATTGGACCACCCTTGTTTTCAATCTGGAACCAGCAAAAAATCGTCAGAAATCCGTAATTTAACATAACGGTAGATAAGAATATTACAAAAATTTATTAATAGCGACATAAATTACTTGAAAAACTAGACTTTTTTTTATTTCTTTAAATTTAAATAGTACATACGGAGAACCATGTATGTATATATGTATATACCTCAGAGCTTCTTCTGTTCGCCCATTCATCAACACAAGGCACCCACCATTTTAATTCAAGTAGGAAAAGGACAATATTTAAATTAAAAACTGAAATGAATTAAATATAATGATAATCTGAACTGATAATCTCACGCTGACGAGATGACATGACAAGATTAGGAGCCTGATGACTCTTTAGAATCTTCTAGGGATGTTTCGATTTTTGCGATCCCGGGATTTTCGGGATATCGTTCATACAATACCGGGATCCCGGGTTTTAGATATTCATTATTTTCCAACAACTTAACTCGAAAAAATTGCATCAATATAGTTTGAGAAGCTGTCCAAATGGGTCTGAAATCTACTTCATTATTTAAATATAAATAAATTTATACGCATTTAACAATACTTTAGCGTGCACATATCTGATAAAGGAACTTAAGGCATGTCGAAAAAAGCTCGATGCAAAAAAGTCTTAAGTCAACATATGTATTGTGTGGTCGAAAGAAGATACTAGTGGCAGAAATAAAAGGAAACGCCTTATTTCAATCAGTTTAGTCTATATATTTTTTTCCTTTATTTAATATTTAAATTTTTGTAAAAAAGTCTACCTCATTTTATATATAATTAACTGCATTTAAATGCGCATTTCAAAATTTGTACAAAAATTATAAAAATGCAAAAGAAATTGCCAAAATTTTATACTTTTTACTCAGCACTGTTAGAAAAAATTTTAGGTATGCAGTTTTATAGCCCATTTGGATAGGTCATTTGGAGTTTCTGAAGCCATTCCAGGATGGACCCGAGTTATCCTACTAAAAACTCTTCCACGTCAGAATTCCTGAAAGGGACTGCTGTGAAGCGATAATAACGAAAGGTCGCAAGTATGGCATACCGAGGCATAGTTGCCAACTGGGTGTTTTAAGCACTAGATTTAGTGCTTTTTGAAAATTAGAACGTAATAAAAATTTATTTAGTGCATAGTGCCTTTTTAGTGCTTTTTTTCTGAACTAAAATTACTTCGAGATAGTTAAAACCTGAAATAATTTGAAATATTTAAGGCTGTGGCAGCACTGAATTTACAAGAACCTACAAATTTAAATGGACTAAAATACAACCATGATTGATAACAAGCTGAAGTTGCAAACCCGCCTTGTTAAATTCTATTCGCGTTGAAAATGCTAGTACGCAAGTAAGTTAAGTTTTTAATTTTTTCTTTTCTAATTATTTGTACAAATTTTGTTTTTTTTTTACCACCTGAGTAAAACACATCGTCTCTTGGTGCTGCATCAAAATCTGGCCTCACAATTGCTCTAGCACTAGAATTTTGAGATATCCTAACCTCAAAGTTCCCAAAACACGGTTTTTAGCGATATTTGAGGTTATATAATGAAAACATACAATTCATTTTCGTTTAATGTGATTCGATTTTTCTTTCTCGAGATATACCAATTTTAATGTGCAGTACTTCGGTATTATGTTATGAAAAAAGCATCCCTTGATTAAAAAAAATTTGGTGCTTTTAGTGTGGTAAAACGCTTTTTTTCTAAGTTTTTGGTGCTTTTTGAAAATCAAAAGATGGCAACACTGACCGACGGATCGAAGATGGACGACGGGAGTACTGGGGCAGGCGTACTTGGACGAAGGGTCCAGAAAAGTCTGCGCTGCTGCGATTCTCCTAAAGGATACACTGCAGAGCTATTTAGGGCCTGGGAAGAATTTCAGATTGCTGTCCACTGGCGGAAGTCAAAGGGAATAAGATAATCAAAGAGATTCATAAGCTCCTCCAGGGGAACTCCGAAAGACTTATTGAACTTAGACGGGCAGAGTCTTAGTACGCGCACTGTCATCCTGAGAGGATATTGCAAGTTAAACTACAATTTGAATAAAATGGGGTTTCTCTAGATACGTGCTGCAAGCTTTGTGGGCCGGGTTTAGCACAATAGATCTTACTATGTTGCAGCACGAGTATTCTTGATGTAATAATAAGAATAATAACAATAATAATATGTACACTGCCGGCAAAAATGTACGCAAACATTTTTTTCTAATATTTTTCCGCAAATTTTTTATAAAAATATTTTTCATTCTACAACAAAAAAAAATAAATAAAAATATAATTCCTAAATTTTGTGCAAAACTCAGCAAATTCTAAACTTTTTAATCAGATTTTTTAGAATTTTTTTGAGTAGGCAGTTTTGCAGCCCATTAAATTCTAGTAAAAAAAAATGCAAGATCGGAGTTAGTCAAGAATCGCATTGATTTTTAAGATTTTTTTTTTTGTTGAAGGTGTTTTGCAATTTTTCCATATAAAGTATTGTCGAAAAAATTTTTTGTATGGAAGAGTGAAAAAAAATTGCCAAAAATCATCATCATAAAATTGATTGGGCTACACATCTGCATGCTCAAAATTTTCTAAAAAATTTGATTAAAAAGTTGAAAATTTGCTGAATTTTCATGAGTTTTGCACAGAGATTAGGAATTGTATTTTTATGTTTTTTTTTGTGTAATGAACCATATTTTTATAAAAAAATTGGCGAAAAAATATTAGAAAAAAAAATGTTTCCATAAAATTTGCGAAATTTGCGGTGCCAATACTTTTTGCCGACAGTGTATGTGTTAAGAGACATACATTTGAATAAGCCTGTACAGAAAAATGAGTTGTTTGTTTTTATTGAACTAGCTCGTTTAGTTTTACTGTTATCTACATTTCTAATAAACTTGACATTGAAAAAAATAAAAACTCAAACAAAATTGTAATAAGTTTGTTTTGGTAGGAACTTTTGGTAGGTAAAAAAATATGTCCGTAGCAACGCTGATTGGGGCGCACATCACTGTTGGCAGCTATAACTTTGAAGTAGTGGAAGACTTTGTATACATGCATCCACCATAAACACAACCAATAATCTCAGCCTGGAGATCAAACAAAGAATAATTCTTGTTAACTTTCGTTCGATACGCAATTGAAAATCAGAGCCTTCTCTCGGGGAACAAAAATCATATTCTACAAATCATTATGCCTTTCCGTTTTGTATAACACAGAATATTTCGCTCGAACTCACTCGAATGAAGTTAAGAAATTGTTGGCCTTGTTGGTCATTTTCTAACATACAGTATGGATTTTTATGCTTAGCGTCGGCATTAACTGTAGGGGCTGTCTTCTTAATTTCGGTATTTTCGATGTCGTTTTAAATGTGATATATATATTGCGAAAATTAATTTATGAATGCTACATATACAGCTCTTTCCACTTTAAAGACATTAAAATAATTCCGCGTTGATTGTAAATTTTTTTCGCAACTCAGCCTAATACACAAATTTTTTTAAACGATGCCTTATTTTTAAGCATCTCTTTCGCCAATTTCAAATGCGCACTTTTCTTTTCTCCTTCGACTCCATCCAGTCAATACCCACCTTGCACGCCATCAGCTTGACCGTCGCCGTTCCGTTCTGCTTGGCGCACCAAATAATTTTCACTTTCATCGGCTAGCAAATCGGAAAATTTTATATTCAATTCATGATTGCGCAAATATTCCGATACGCAGCCCAAGAAGGAGTCATCGCTCTCGAGTGCAGACTCGGCAGGCGCAGCTTCACCTACACGCGCACTAGGCACAATCTCCAGACCGCGCATCAGTACTAACGGTTTATCCATACGATTCAAATTGTTAATAGCGTTGCGTATAGCACGCGAGCCACGACAATAGATTGAATCCGAATCCAACGAGTTGGTGAGACAATCAGACGACGCCGTGTTGGCGGCTTGGACGGCAGGACGCGGTGTATGCGCGGCGCGTTCATGTGGCGGAGAACTCAAGTACGGGTCTGTACTGGGCGTAGCAGTATCCGTTTTTGTATTTAATAATGTGGCATTTGAGGCGGGTGTGTCGTATAGTATGCCAAGCAGCAGCGCACAAAAAATACAATGAGACAGCCACATTTCCAAAGGAGCTAAGTTAACAAACCGAAATGTTTTGTTTTTTGTCTCGTCTCGTTGAGATTTTTACGCGACCGAAACCGTTTTTGCCAATAGAACTGCTGCGAACTTGTGATAATTTAATACTAAATCGTTAGCAATGTACTACTCCAGATTTTATACTCATTTGAGCGTTACGATCCTATTCCACCGGAACATAGTAATGGGCTATGAAATGAAAATCTAAAACAAAACGAAAGTCCATATAATTATCTGTTACAATTGTCCATTCCAAATTGTGCCAGAAATGAAAAAGAAAGGCCGCGTCAACCTTTCAATCATACAATCCATTTCACTCACCGACTCATACTGACTTTTTATGAGCACTTGTTTTGACATTCCCTGCACTACTGTATGACGCAGTGCAGTGTAATTTTCCTCTTGAGTGGATCAGAACGATTTTCCATTTTGAACGCTTAATTGGCCAAACCGCATGCGCGTATTCGTACCGTACAGTGATTCAAACAAATTACCACGTGTTTTGGATTTTCTTAAATATTCATCATATTTTTCGAGCTATATTAAAAACTGGACGGCTTTAACCAAAAATTTATAAATCACAGTTTTAAACTTGATACAAAATTTAGGTAAATTCAAAAAATTTCAACTTTTTAATCAAAATCTTTAGAACATACAATTTTAGTCCAATGAAGTGCAAGTTTCAACCGGCTTTCTTGTTTTTTTAGACTGCTTTTGGTTTTTTTTTATATAACGCACGCAATTTACAAAACCTGGTGTTGATTTTTGAAATTTTGGAAAAGTGCAAAAATTCATCACAAACAAAATTCTCAAAAATCAAGGGGATTTTTCAGCCACTTTATTGGACTAAAATTTCATTGGCTACAAAACTGCAGACGCAAAAATGTTCTAAAGATTTAGATTAAAAAGTTGAAATTTAGATGAAATTTTTTTTAATATCCCTAAATTTTGTATAAAATTTGAAACGGTGATTTATATGGTTTTGGTTAAAGCTTAGAGGGTAATTTTATAGAAAAATAACAAAAAAAAAAAATTGCTCGAAAAACATTACAAATGTTAAAAAACAAATCAACACGTGATCATTTGTTGCGAGTCACTGTATGCATGTATCTTATGCCAAGAAAAGAAAAATGTTCATATCAAGGTCTTAAAATACGAGTAGCACAGTAAGCAGTCATTCGAGTCAATGGCAGTGGTTGGCCAACAATAAAGTGTGGAAAATTATAGGCGCTGTAAAACGCTTTTTAAAGAAGGAACAGTTTGCTACGAGTATTTCCACTTGGATTGAGGGTACGTATGTAGTTGTTGGCCTGCGAAGTGGGTTGGCTAATTATCGGTTGTCTAGCAACAAATTACTCGAGTTATGGTTTAAGCATTTTGGCTAACATAATTTCGATTCATTTTTAAATGAAAGCACTCCCCTCTGTTTAAACGAAATAGCTTCACATTCTCCGCAATTTCTCAAACTTAATGGCATTATTAGTGATGCTTGGCTTTGGTCATTATAAAATTAGTTGTACATATTTTAAGTTGAGAACGCTAATTTTGCGTGTAAAAGTTTGAACAAAATTGGAAATTCTTAAAATAGCGCATATGTATGTATGTGTATGTATTGAACTCAAATTGGTATCGCTTATTCTTCGAAATGCATAACAACAAACTTTAGTAGCTGGAGTAAAGCTACACTCTAAAAAGTGTTTGTAAAACTACTACTGAAAAGCTTTCATTTTTCAACCAGAATGTGTAAATAAGATGAGGCTTTTGAACACGAAATGTTTAAAATTGTTAACATTTTGAACGTAAAAATACATTTTCCACTAACAATAAATATTTATTTAATTTCTTCTTTAAAAATTGTATGTGCAATTTTTCCCCAGGCGACAAATTTTATATCTAAAAATAAACTGGCTGTGCTTAATTTTACTAACACAGAAACCTGGTTACCTCACTTAATAAGTAGATATGCGTAAATTTAAACAAGCATATTTTAGAGTGTACAAATCTGCAGCAATAAAAGTATGTAGTCAAACAAGGCCAATGCGTGGGAAAAAAATAAAAATGTAGTGGCAGAGTTTTGTCGGTTTAATCTCCCCGTTGTCGATACAGGTCCTTGCATTTATATTTTCACTTTTTTACCTCTTCAAAATCTTAAATTTAAACTTCATGTACTCGGTAGTTTACATTTCCAATTAGAATTTTTGTCGAACATTTTTAATAAATAAAATATTTCCTCTGCAACCGTGTGGCAGGTTTTCGGTAGCAGCTTCGGCTAATAAGCAATAATTTTATGCGAATTTTCCTTACGACCACTACTCAACAGAATTCAAAACAGTTAAAGTTAGTCAAATTGTTATGCTCCCGAACATCCGTTAACACTAAAGTATGAGATTTCTTGTCTCGGCATACGTTCCAAAATGTCTGAATTGATAAAAGAGCGATCATCATTTTTTGGGGTTCGCATAACAGAATACAAATTGTCATCAGAAAAAATGTTTTGCCCATAATATACTCAAACAATTCTTCAATTTTATTATTTGAGTCAGCAAGGAAATCATTTGGAATTTCAATAGTGTCTTCACCATTGGCAGTTTCTAGTCATAAAGTAATTAGAGAAAATATGCAACTTAAATTTCATGTGGGCGGTCTCTCATAAAAATTAAATGAAATTAAATTAAAATTTTGACCAATTTTCAATTAGGCTGACGCGGCAAAATTTGGCGGAAATCACCAGGCATTAAAATTGTCATTCTCCCAAATAGAACTCCTTTATCTCCCTTTGCACTTACATATATCACGTAAAAATCTAATAACTCTATGATCTCCAAAAACACTAAATTCTGATAACTTAATCAAAATCGATAGCTCGACAAATTTCGATAACCATCGATAAAATTCGATAACTTTGCGTTTTTATCACTCGATAATCTCGAGAAACTTTGGATATCACTACATATAAATTTTGATAACTCGATACACTCTTGTATTCCGACAAAATTCGATAAATTTATAAATAGGGATAACTCGATTAATATATGCAACCCTACAACTTTAGATAATTCGACATACTTTAAAATTTCCAAAGATTTTGAATCGATAAACTGACAAATTTCGATAAGTACCAACAAATTTCGATAAATCAACAAATATCTATAACTCGATAAGTTGAAAGAACTCGATACATTACGATAACTTGATAAACATTCGATAATTACAAATATCGTTGACGGGATAAATTCGGGTAACTTCGATAACTAGATTTTTCATGACTAAATATATTTCGATTCTCATCGAAAAATGTCAGTAATTTTTCACACCCTTTCAGTTACCCTAATTTTTATATACATTACATTACATTAGGGTGGTACAAAAAAAAAGTAAAGTCGGATTTTTAATGCTCTCAGACGCTAGAATTGTTCTATACCGAAAAAGCTATACCCCTAATTTATTTTTATTTTGATATCAAAAAATATTTAAATGTCCGACCAAATATCCCAAATAATATTTTATTATCTTGAGGAGACTTCCAATAACAATACCCAATTGTTAATTTAACCTTTTTTTTGAGAGACCTCTAATAATTTTTTTGATTTCAAATTGGGGTATACTTTTTTCGGTATTAACAATCTTAGGGGGTGAGAGCATAAAAATTCCGACTTTACTTTTTCACATGCGTTCCTGGACCAACCTAATGTGCATGCCTGGGTACAGGTGCATTTGTCACTCTTTTAATTTTTGTCTTTATCGTTAATTTCGCTTTCACTTTTTTACCTTCAACGTTTTTTATCATCTCTTTTGTCACCTTCACAATTATATTTTCATCTTCTTTTCTAATACGAAGTAAAACAAAATGCGAAAACTCAAATTGAACAGGTTTCCACAACAACTATACGCAAATACTGAAACTTGTAAACTATGATGTTGGCTAACAAAAGCTACCCACGGAAGGATATGTCAAAATGGTACCATTTTAGTACTGTACACACTATATGTACATATAGTAATCTGAGGTTGTCTTATCTCTTCTTTGAAATGTGGTCTGCTAGAGTAACTGAAGAGTAGAGACTGCCGAGTTGTTGCATATGTATATGAACTTTTAGTGAGGAGTAAAATTCCGAATGCCCCCTTTGGGCAGATCCAAAGTTATTTTAAGCTGCTGGCTAGGTGGTCAGCAAACAGAGGACTCGCTGTAAATCCTAGTTAGATGAAACTCGTGTACTAGGTAGGTAATGATACCTCACAGCAATCTTCCCTTAATGGTGTTCGTCTGACGCTTTCTGAAACTTAATGTCATGCTTAATGGAGCGTTTGTCGGTATCGGAGTTAAGATAGCAGAAGCAAAGGATGCGATGAGACTGGAGCTCCTTGAAATTTGGATCATTGCGATATTAGAATGGAATGAAGGAAAGGCGGTTGGAGCTGGATAGAGGCGCCGGTGAACTTTTTCGACGGTTGACAGAAGGTTTGATGGAGAAGTCCTCTCAATTTTATGTTTCAGAATCACGGTAGAGCTCTTAATACAGAGATATGTAGCTGGCAAGCAAACTAGGAAGCAAGCGTGTATTGGCTGTTCAAGCGGCTATCAAGGCTTTGGTAGGACATTGGTTCTGACTTATCAGACTTATACGAGTATGGGTATTAGGCAATGTAAGCGTGATGTACTTTCATTGAGAATATAAAATGTGCTATAATAAAGCAGGCTAAAAAGTTGTAGTACAAATTGAATTTAAAGTTGAAAGGTGTGAATTGAACAACAAATCAGTTGATGAACTAAATTGTTCAGTGATTGCATTGTATATGGTAGGGCGGGCTTGCTGCTTATGCCGCGCTGTATTCAAAGCGGAAGCTTGTTGCGTTAAAATCCTCTCGACGCAAACTTATTAATAAATTGTTTCGGGCTTAGCCTAGCGTAAGCTATATCTACGCATGTGTGTGTGTTTGCACAATATGCCTACGAATACAAAAACAATATCTATAAATCAATGTACAAGAAAACTTTTTTCCCAAGATTTCTGTGGACAACCTGCTTCGTAGTCGTAGTATATTTGGTTATCTTTTCCATCAGTAGATATGTAGATCTCAATTTGAGATTAATGATAAAATTATTTAAATTTCGGCGTATAATTTAAAACCAGAAAAGAGTACACACCTAAAATACTTAAATAAGGAAAATCACAACGAAAATGGATAAAAAGCGAAAGCGGCAAACGAAAAAAATGTTGGTAAAAATTAAAAAAAATTGGAAAAAGTGTAGGCGATATTAAAAACAATGGTACAGCAGTAGCCTAACAATTCGCATTATAACAA